AATTGAAAAACATGCAGAGTTTCTCCCCCAATGTGCCAGTTGCCTGTTCTAATTTGAATTTTTTTGAATATGCTTATTTCGTGGAATGTAATTAATTCAGAGAAGGATTGGTAAGAATTTGAATTTCCGTTAAAAATGAGTAAGTAGGGGTTGACAAAATGTCCAAAGTAAATCAAACCAAACAGTTTGGTTCAATTCGATTTTAACAAAAAAAAAAAAATTATGGTTTTTGTTCTTTGAACAAGGAACCATTTGATTATGGTTATGGTTATGGTTCTTGTTCGGTTCTTGTTCTAGAACCAGAACCAAACATAATATTTACTTTTATTTTTTATATACAATAATTAATGAAAACCCTAATTTTGTATTTATTGGAGACTATCATTAATTGAATACGGCCCATTAATCCGTTCTGGATCACTAGAGACAGCTCATTAATTATGTACATTCTAATTTTGTATTCATTTGAATCATTTCTCCTTCACTACTTTTCAATTTATAAAATGCCACAGCACGCTTGCGCCGCATTTTATATCGTTAGTGGAGAAAACCCTTTCAAGATCCGAAAATGAAATTGGTCAGCCACTTAAAAAGCTTTTAAACTATTTTTTTTTTTTTTTTTTTACCTTAATTGTTTGATGAATTATTTGTGTTAATCACAAATAGAGGAAAATCCAATAAATATTAATAGAGTATTAAACGGTTAATGGTTGTCTGTAAAAGTGGACCGTAAAAGTTTTAAATAATTCATCCTTTATTGTGGTGGTGTGCCGTCAAAACTGTTGTAATTAATTTAGTAAATCATTGCTATTAGTTATTAAACAATCTTTTGTATGTAATGAAAACTGATTTGTATATTCAAAATTTCAAGTTATGATTATATTTTGTTTGTTAGTTTTGGCTTTTGTAATATTAATGATTAATAATTTGAACTTGTTGAATAGTTGATGTTTATTTATTTATTTTTACTTAGATATATATTACTAACTTATGGATATTGTACAAGTCTGAAAATATAAGAAATGAAACTAGAACAAACCAAACCAAACCAGAAGCGAATGATTCGGTTCGATTCGATTTGGTTCCATATCTTAGAAAAAACAATTAATTCATGGTTCGATTCGATTCTTTTGAAACCAAAATCAAATGGGACCATATTGACCCATATGAATAAGGGAGTAATTAGGGGAAGTACTATTTAAGATATTGATTTTATATAGTATTTGGAATATATATTTAGAGACATAGTATATTAAGAGGGTGTTTGAGCTTCGTTCTTTTTGAAAAATGTATTTTAGAATAATATATTGATAGAGAATGTGTGATTAAAAAGTAATAAGTTTTTTTTAATTTACGTGTAATATTATTTTAATGAAGAATGTGCGGTTGAAAAGAAGAAAGAGAAAAATATATTTTGAAAAAAAATAGGAATCAAACAAGGCCTAAGAATTTCATATTTTATCTCGTGTACATGTGAATTTTTCCCTAACGTTTATACGAGATTAGGGCCCATGTGTGAAAGAAAAGTTTTTTGCTATATTGTTTGGGCCCACCTTGCTTGACTCGACTCAATTATATTGTAAAAACGATAATAAAATTGAAAATGGTCCACCTTGCTTGACTCGACTCAATTATATTGTAAAAACAATAATAAAATTGAAAATGGTCAAAAATATTCTCCATCTAAAATTCTTTACAAAGAATTTTTATGGCATATTTGATAAGTCGTACTGCTTACGCTTGACAAAATTAAGGAAACAAAAGAAATTAGAATCTTATTACATACTAAAGAAGGAGGTGGCTATTAATAGAATATTAGGGTCATATATTCAAATTTGGTGGCCAAGCATATTCTTTACTTGAAATTCCTTGCAACGAACTTTTATGTCACATTTGATTAGGTATGGTAACGGGGCTGAACAGAGTCGATTTGGCTCTTAGACACCAAAGGTTTGTGTCCATAAGTTGGGCTTGATGCGACCCTTTGGCTCATGAATCGATCCGAAAAATTACTTATTTTTTAAAGAGATTTGAAATAAGTCAAGAAAAGAAGCCAGTCAGTTTTTATGATTTTTGTGAACGAGAAATTAGGTTTAGATGCAAGTGTTTTGATTCTATTTACGTATAATTTTCACATTCATTGAATTATGAAAATCGCTAAATGTGATATGCATGATCTCTTTAGGAATTCCGTCAATTTTACCATTATTATCTTGAAAAACCAATTGATTTTGTTTTGTAAAATCGGATACATGAACAACGTTTTTTTATCATTAGCTTTATTGAACAAGATTCATCTTTGTTTCGCAAGTTGTTTGAAAATTTCAAACTAATTTTGCAAAACTCGAATATAATATTATCAGCCATATTCCTAAGAATAATTTATTTATAAATCAATTTCTCATTGCATGCCACTTTATTCAAAGTTCAAACAACCACTTAACATGCAAAAATTAAATTATGGGAAAATTGCAGCAGCAACCTTTAACATTTTTATTTTTTACAAATTTTATCCTAACCTTCAATTTATACCAACGAAAGCTCCTAACCTTTCGTAAATATGCAACAGATATCCAAATGGATGGAAATCACCTACTTGATTGTTAGTTGATAAAAAAAAAAAAGTCAGAATTTGATTCATTTTGACCAAATTAAAAAGGATAAAATGGTAACTTTACATATTACCCCTAAAATAAGTTTAAAATTAAATTAGAAAAAAGAAACCTCATCTTCTACCCACCCCACCCAGAGAAAACACCAACTACCGTCAACCACCGAATCTGATACCAGAAAAAACACCAGCCACCGCTGACCACCTAATACGCCAAAATTTCATTCCCTAGCCGGTGGCCTCATTCCACAAACACATCTCACACAAAGTAATTGGACAAACATCATATGAAGATCAAAATCAGCCTTTAAAACCATGGGAATCTCGCGGTCCAACAACAAAATTTGACAACTTTGGTAACACCCACTGTCATGTACCACTACCAACCAATTCGCCTCACCTAAGTGCTCCAATTCATGGTGAGACATTATCCAAAATAGCTCTGATTGATACATGTCTACCTTGGGAGCAAAACGAGGCACTCACATCTCCTCGAATTAACAAATTTGGAGCTCTTTTTATACTAAATTGGCAACCCACAATCCCTCGGCAAATCGAACTATGATAGGTATACCCTCGATTGATCCAATTGTGTCACAAATTGCTCCGATTTTGCCTTCAAATTCTACCTAATTTCACACGCAAATGAGATTTCAATTTCTTTAGCTTCAATTGGGTTTGATTTGATTTTTGGTTTTGATATTTAATTGGTAGTGACTGCCTTTGGGAGGTGGTGCTGACGTTGTGGGGTAGGTTGGGTGGGGTAAATTTCTTTTTGTTTTTTAATTTAAGTTTATGTCAAAAATTTAAAATTACCATTTTGTCATTTTAAATTTAGTCAAAATTGTGGTCAAGGTCAATTTCTTGGTCAAATAATGATCAAGTTGTTGATTTCCATTCAATTGGATCTTTATTGCATATTTATGAAAGGTTAGGGACCTTTGTTTGGATAAATTGAAGATTAGGGTAAAATTTACAAAAATTGAAAAATTAAGGATCGCTGCTGCAATTTTCCCTTATGTTTGACCAATACTGTTCCTGGTCAACAAAAACTGCCACCTGGTCGTTTTCATTTTGGCTTAAATGAGACGTTCTCCCTATACAAATATAATTTCAATAATAGTCACTTAAGTTCAAGAAAAATTCCAAACTAGTCCTTAAAGTATTTTTATGACTCATTTAATCACTAAGCCTTGTTTGATAACTATTATTTTCAAAATATATTTTTCTCTATTTTATTTTCAACTACACATTTTTCAATAAAATAATATTACAAACAAATTCAAAATTTCTCTCTTTTTTTAATCACATTTCCAACAAAATACTATTCTAAAATACATTTTGGCCAAAGAAATAAGGCTCGTTTAAACGCTAATTAATCAATATGTTAACCTAATTAACGTCATAAGATGTAGGAGTTGTTAACAATGACCAACAATCTTTAAAGCGGTCGCTTCTTTTTCAACTGGTCTTCTGGTCTAGCTTTGTCGCGATATTTTTACTGTCTATTAATGATGAATATAGAGTTGAAGTTAAAATGATTTGAAATTTTTTAACTTAACATCAAGATTTCTCTTAATAATTGCATTTTACTTTCAAAATATGTAATTTCACAGATGGATACAGCGATTGTTAGATGAATTCGAGGTTTAATGGGCCGTTAAAAGGATTAATCAATTATGCAACATTATCTAGCTTTAGTAGACTAAATTGATCGCAAAAATACTTTAATAACTAATTTAAAATTTCATTTGGACTATAATGACTATTTGAAATTAAACTCTCCTCTCTCAATACAGACACATTCTCTCAATATATACACAGCTCGTTCATTGGAAGGACCCTTTGAATTGGTACTCTTTTTGGAACTGATCATACGTATTTTTAATTTAGTATAATCTGTAGCCGCAATAATCAAATGTATGCTGCAAAAATCCAATCTCCAATAAATTATTTCCTGTAAGTCTTATCTTAAATTCTTGATTTTTCTTTGTTCTCTGGTTGTTTACGTTGAAACTTTGTACGCAAAATAGTCTTATCTTAAATTTGTTAGGAATTTTACTAGGTCGTATTTGAGTTTGATTTCTCCTCTTCTTTGAGAATCTTTATGGTCAAGGGTTTTAGGTAGGGAAAGAGCAGATTTTTCTGAATGGTAGTTATTATATATGTTTGAAGACTAGTCATGAAATTGATGGTTTATGAGGGCTATCCTTGAAGAATCCTCATGTGGGTATCTCTGAAATTTGTTAAATTTGATCTTTTTTGTGCCTGGATTTAATTCTTAGTTTTTATGCTCACATGGGTTTCTTGGAAATTTCAGTTTTGATGTTTAGAATAGTCCTCAAATGTGTTTGATTGATTTTTACAGAGTGGAGGTTTAACGGTTGAGATGTTAGGGGAAGAGAATAAGGATAGGCCTGCCGGAGGGAGTTGGAAAACATACTCACGGTCTGTTTCGTGGAGTGATGGATCACCTAGAAAGACAAATTCTAGGCCACAATGGAACAGCAAGGCTCGGGCTTGTTTGCCGCCCCTTCAGCCTCTTTCGGTTACTAGACCTAGCGGGGAGGAATGGCCGAGGGCCGGCTCGGATGATATTGGCATATGGGCGAACCCCCCTACTACTCCTGGTGCAAGGCTTGGATCAATGACGCCTCGTGGAAATTCAAATTCAGAACAACCTCCTAGAGAATTTGAATTCAAGAAAGATAAGCTCGCATTCTTTGATAAGGAATGCTCAAGAATTTTGGATCACGTATATTTAGGAAGTGATGCTGTTGCTAAGAATCGTGAAATTTTAAAGCAGAATGGAATAACCCATGTGCTGAACTGTGTGGGGTTTGTTTGCCCTGAATATTTCAAGAATGAGCTTGTTTACAAGACACTTTGGCTGCAGGATAGCCCGTCCGAGGATATCACGAGCATTTTCTATGATGTTTTTGATTATTTTGAAGATGTTAGAGAACAAGGTGGGCGAGTCCTTGTTCACTGTTGCAAAGGGGTGTCACGATCGGCCTCTTTGGTTATTGCTTATCTTATGTGGAAAGATGGCCAGAGCTTTGAGGAAGCATTCCAGCACGTTAAAACAGCACGAGGAGTGACTAACCCGAATTTGGGATTTGCCTGTCAACTTTTGCAGTGCCAGAAGCGGGTACATGCCTTGCCTCCAAGCCCCTCTTCGGTTCTTCGTATGTATCGAATGGCACCTCACTCCCCGTATGATCCCCTTCATCTTGTTCCGAAAATGTTGAGTGAACCAGGGTCAGAAAGACTTGATTCTCGTGGAGCTTTCATTGTTCATGTTCCTTCAGCAATATTCATCTGGACAGGGAAGCATTGCTCCAAAGTGATGTCAGATAAAGCCAGGTCAGCTGCATCTCAAATTATCCGTTATGAAAGGGCCTGGGGTCCGGTTATAACTGTCAACGAAGATGAAGAAACATCTGAATTCTGGGTTGCTCTTGACTTGAAAAAACAGTTAGCAGATGGTTGTGTCACAGAGATAACAGAAGACAGAATTGGCCCTTCAGTTTGTCCGTCCATCTGTCAAAGGAAAGTTGATGAGTATGATCAAGATTTCGGAATTTTTTACAAAGCACTAACCGGTGGAATTGTTCCACCTTTTCCCTTATCAGGAAGTGGATCCGAGACATGCATACCTGCTAGAGAAAATGGTTGGAGCAGATTGAGAAGAAAGTTGACCAGTGATATTATGAAAGAACTTATTGCGTCGTCTAAATTGAATTGCAATTTGACTCAAGCAAGTGATAAAGCAGATACAATAGATACTTGTAAAGAAGTTCTGTTGCCTTCTAGTCCTCAGTGCGATTCACCTGATTCCTTTGCTTCGTACAAAACTGGCAGCCCTGTTGCACTAATGGAGAAAGTGGAATACTCAGTTCCCCTTACTGATACTGTACTGTCACCATCACCTTCGCTCAATTCATTGGATTCTTTTAGTTCTTATCTTGTGAATAAACCGAAGTTTAATTCGACATCCCCATCACTCTCTCCTTCAACCTCAGATTATTCAAGTTCATTTAACTTTTCACCCTCATCGTCTAACTGGTCAGACTTATCATATTTGTCAGCTCACCCTTCACCTTCTGGACTAGAGTCCAAAGATCCTGTTAAGAGCGGTTCCTCAGAGGAAAGTGCATGTTTACCTCTTGGAGCATCTTCCCCTCCACTGGAAGAAGCATTTTCCGCTACTCATGCTTTGAGAGCGGCAAGTTTTTCATTTAGAGGAACGTCACCCTCCCTTGCTGAGCGCAGAGGAAGCAGTCTTCCTCCTCGGATGATGTTACCTTCGGTGGACGAGGCATCACATGCTTCCACCATTTCGATGAATTTGTCGTTTTACGTAGAAGATGATATTATGCAGGATATTGAACACAATAACTTTAAACATGATAGATCTTTGGAGACAAATAGAGAAGAGCCAACGTATGTTGCTCACAGCTATGCTGCTGACAATGATCCGTTTGAGTTTTGATGCAAACGGTGCTGATGTTTTATACATCTTTTAAGGCATGAAGTGCCGTGGAAGGGAACCGTTAAGCAGTTGATCAGTATTTATAGAAGATACTAAGATAGTCGTGCCTACCGGGAGATGGTTGGTTGTGCTTTTCTCATGGAGAAGGGTTTAAGTGCAAGCACTTTCATTCAGGTACTTGTTGCACCTATATAGTTAATGGATGCTATATGCCTATTTTGTAGGACTTCTGCTATTGCTTCTGAAGAGCTTCCTCTGGAAGTTATTAAAAGCTCTTCTAGCCAAAAACACTTCCACAAAATTATCCAAACATTTTAAAAGCAGTTTCCTAGTCTTATAAGCGACTTTTGACTTTTCAAAACCCTGTCAAACAGGCCCATATCATTTATAACTTGCTTATGTTTACACTAGGGACAATCTATTGGAAGTCATCTTATTTTTACCTTTTATATTCGGATTTATAATGAGTTTGTGAGAATTGAGCTGTAAATTTTTTATCATTGTGAAACTTTGAAAGATAATTAGTTTAGCAGCAGTTAGATAAAAGGCGTCGACTCTTGAACAAATTTTAATTGTGCAAATATTAATGCTTTTTTTGTGTCAATGTCTGTATACTTCTATTCTTTCTGACCATGTGCTTCACTTTTTTTCTCGTGCATAATTTGGATAGATGAATAGATATCATGCTGCCACAAGCATTATCTTCTTTATAAAGAATATTTTATTATTTCGCCCGTTTGTATGCTTCTGTCAATATGTGTTGCATACATAAAGTATGAAGACTTGTTTCTAAGGGTGTTCAGAATTTATGAAGCCCATTTGGCTGAACTTTTTAAAAGTCAAAAGTTGCTTTCAAAAGTAAGAAACTGCCTTTGAATATGTTGATAATTTTTTGAAAGTGCTTTGCCTGTCTAGAAAAGCTTTTAAAGAAAGTTATTTAGGCCTTGTTTGTTTCTGATTCTCAAATCAATTCTCAAATCAATTCTCATTTTCAACCACACATTCTTCAATAAAATAATATTTTCCATCACATCAATACTTTTTTCTTCTTTTTCAACCACACATTTCCCATCATATCACTATTCAAAATCAATTCTTCCCCCAAAAATCCTCACATTTTTCAATAAAATAATATTTTCCATCTCATCAATACTTTTTTCTTCTTTTTCAACCACACATTTCTCATCATATCACTATTCAAAATCAATTCTTCCCCCAAAAATCCCTACCAAACAGGCTCTTAACTTCCTCAAAAAGCTCTCATACAAAAAGCAGAGACAAAAGCAGAAGAAGTCCTGCCAAATAGATCATAAATTTGTTTATAGTTTAGAATACGATTGCATTTTTACGTTCTTAGGTAGAAAAGTTTCAAGTCTTGTTATATTTCACAACATTTATAAATGATGGTTTCAATTTTGCAATGCAATAAATTCTTGTAATAATTAAATTGCAGATAGTTAAGAAGGTGAAGAAGGTCGATTGCAGCTCCCAGAGCATTTTGCCTTTGGATGGAGTTGCAGATATAGTTCGTTAAAGGTGGTGTGGAACAGCTCATGCATCTTGCTTTTTTCTCCTTTCATAAGATAGACTAGAAAATATTGTGTACCAAACATATACTAAGAGCATTTTCGAAAATAAGTTGATTTACGAGAACAAAAGATTATCTCAGAATAAATGAAATGTACATTATTATTCATCCTGTTCATCTAATTTTTCTGTACATTCAGATTCAACCCACAAGGTGTAGGTTTTTCAGTACAAATTTAGAGCATTATTTTAGAGCATTTTGTCTTACCGGTCCTAATAATCGTGTTCATGGATCCATTTTAAGAGAGAAGAAAGAACAATAGCTATCCAACATTAAGCACAATTAACATGCTTAGCCCATAACCTTCCTGGGCAAGGAAAATTGTTCGATGGATCGAAATATCACGTCGGGGGATGTTTAGCCCATAACATTCTTTACATATGACAGGAGATCTACAAAAACTACAGAAAATCAAACCCGAAAGTTGAGCACGTGAAAAAGCTTAAATTTTTCTCTTTCTCAAATCTCTTTTTCTGATCTTAAAATAGCCATTGTAGGGCCGAGTGCACTGCCTCTCAAAGCTTTATATGACCATGATTTCTTGCCTGAACTCTGTTTACCGCAACTATTTTCCCGCAATAGTTGCGCTTTCTTGGCATTCAGAGTCGCGCTAATTTCATCCCATGCATTTACTCCGTTGCCTGCAAATAAAAAGAACATTTTCAATATCCGAAAACATAACCAGGAATTTTAGGCATCGGAAATAGGTACCTATAGTTGGAGGTTGTGTTTGTTTACCACAGTTTAACTCTGCGTGATCTACAAACAGCAAATACAGTCGGGATGAGCAGAGATGGACCGGCGTTTAATAAATGCTCCAAACCAGACTTTAATTATTTTCAAGAATTGCCATTAAAAATGATAAATACCTGGGGCTGGAGCACATAATTGTTTATCTTTACCGCTAGGCAACTCAAGTTCTCCAGCATTTTCATTGCCTACAGGACCTTCATTGTCGTAACTAGGGGTCGTATTCCTCGGACCTGTGTTGCCTCCTTTGACGATACGGATGTCAACAAGAGATGATAAATCAATCTGCATGGCATGGATGGTAAATATTAGGCGATTGATATCGATAAGGGAAAGAAACGGTAGAGACTTTAAAGAATGATTAAAATGTGCAGAACTTGCCTCCAGTGATCCATCTTCATTGTATAGGGGGTTATCGGGTTGAGCGGCAGATTCATCCTCATCCAACTTCTTGGAAACAACAGGATATTCTGGTACTGGCATCAGCATAGTTTGACGGGATTCAGTATTGACCCAGGATACTTTTCCAACCTATGTCGAAAGATATGTTTAGGCTATTGATGTTGTTCAGTTGTAAGCTATAATTTATTATTCTAATCCTACTAGAGTTTAGCTATACCCGATAAGATGAAAGCTCAGGGGTCCACGACGATGATAACTCCAGAATACGATACGCAATTAAGTCTCCTTCCTGCCAAAAATGATTACAACATAAATGATACGAATGAGAGAGGCAAGTTTTTCCTGTTGCACACGTATCAGAAGCAAGACAAGATGGTCTGAAAGTTTATGTTTGGCTAAGCTTCTTTTCTGCTAAATACTTAGGCAGTGTTTGATAAGGCAACTTTTCTTGGGAAAAAGGACAATGAATTCCATTTCCAGCAAAATTGTCTTGTTTGATGGCAAAAAGTTGATTGGAATTAATTTTCTTGGGACTCAGCTCACGCGCCATCTTTCCTTAAAATTGTGGAAAATGATTTCCCACCATTTTCTGACTTTAATTTTTTTTTTTTTTTTTGGGGGCAATAAAAACAAATTTCATAACCAAGTGTAAAAAAAAATTTCACTTTCATAGACAATTTCAATGCAAACAAGGGTTAAACGAATACTAAACTTTGATGAAAAAATGATTTTTTAGGAAATATTTTTATTTCGTTTTTTTTTTTACTTTTTGGCAATGGAAACAAATTTTATAACTAAGTGTGGAAAAAAATTTCACTTTAATGGACAATTTTGATGCAAACGAAGGTCAAACGAACACAAAATTTAAAAATTTTCCAACTAGAAAATTATACCAATCAAACACACTTAATTAACAATTCCTTACAAAACAATTTCCAGGCAATTACTTTCCCTGAAATTCATTTTCTTTCCACCAATTTTGCACCCTTGCAATCAAATGAACCCTTAGAAGTTACTTCTTCAACACCATCTTACTTTTCTCAAGTCTTACTTTGGAAAACTAACTTTTAAGCTTAGTAAAATATGCTCCTTGAATGTAGGGAGTCAAACGTGCTCTTTGCATAACCTATAGGAAGTCGCAAGGGGTGTATGCTGCTAAAAGATCGAGACAAAAAGCCCGCTTCTCCCACCAACTTTTGTCATAAAAGGAAACAAAAATGGTTCATAATAGAAAATCGAGAATGTATAAAAAGAGAGAGAAACAAGAATCTACCTTAGGCTCGTCAACAAGGGGTGGAAGTTTATTAAAGTCAATTCCTTCATCTGATAGGTTTTCCTTTGCATCACTCAATATTTCAGAAAAATCTTCATTTGAATCTTTACGATCATTTCTTGGAGTGAATGCATGTTTCTCCCTCCCCCATTTCTGGCCCTTTTTCTTGCTGGTAATTCCATTCCACTGGAGGGTGTCCTGAAGAGAAAACTCAATATTCATCTAGAAGAATGATGGCACCAATATGGATAAGAAATGTCAACAAACTGAAAAGCATTGAAGACAAAGGATGTAAGACTCGAAAAAGAGTAGCATCATCCTCTGCACCACACTTTGATTCAAGCATGTTCGGTTAAGCTTAAAAAGTAGAAGTTACTTTTATGTAACTCTGTTTGTCCAAATATATCAAACTTTCATATTTACTTAAAGTGAACTTTTAAGCTTGGCCAAACATGTTCGTTAGTATTGAGTTGTTTTCCTTCAGAAAATATATTAGAGATAAAAGGAGATGGTACAAATAAAATTGCATTGTGCTTTTATATAAGCCATTGACAGTACATATACAGGTTACTAATGTTTACTGCTGATATCAACATAGACTAATGAACTTGATGGCTTGTTTGATATTTATTAACGCCAGTGATTAAGCAATTAAAAGAAGTGATAGGTAGAAAACGACAAGGGCTTCACCACAATAAAGTATGACTTGAAATTATTTTTATTTTACACAAACTGGCGTCTGATAGTAATCACCCTATATAATAAATTATACCAAGAATGGTGGATATTTTTATGCTTACCTTACTTAAATCCCAAAGCTAAATTATTCAAGAAAAGAATGGTGAGAGAGTTATTGAATCATTTTGATATATTCTCAGTATCTCAAAACCTTGTTTGCATCCCTTCTCTTAAGGGCTGTGATTCTTAAATAGTTCATTTCTATATCTAACAGCATCTTAATTAAACCAAATATAGGTTAATGCAAGAATATTCGTCAACATAAGCTGATATATCCTCTTAAACGAAACAATTCTTCATAAATATAAACCTTCCATGACCTTCCCTCCTAGAAATGAACTTCCATGCTGCGAGTTATTTCTTAAGAAATGAGTATGCTCTATAAAAACAACAATGAAACATATTAAATTCCGACTCTAAAGAAATGCAAACAATGCAGCCTTTTTGAACATAACCAACATCATAATGCATGTAATGAACCATACCGTTGGTAGTTGATTTTGTTCCACAGCATGCTCTGCATCAACCCAAAAATATTTCAAATGTCAGAACTCTGAGGTAATATGCCACGCCATAATCATGCAATCATTAGAGACCAATAGGGAGCATCATAACAATTGCCAAAGGGAGGAAAAGACAAGCTATTCAAGACCATAGATTGTAAAATCATTCTATAATGAATTAATGATGATTATTTAAAAGCAATCGACCAATCATTGTAATAGTGAACCTAGATGGGCTTCTTCCTTATTTTCAAGAAATTATTTTTGCTCACAGAAAACTGTCCATGGACACGGGTAAAGGCTACAGAATCTAAATTAAACATGTACAGTCAACAATGGGGACTAAACAAGACCAAACATGAAACTCAAATTAGACTTGTTCAAATTCAGGCTCTGTAGCACGGACACTTTAATTAGGGTAGCATGTCCGTGTCGGACACGAGTCGATACCGACAACTGTCGGACACTCTACCATGATCATTTTTCTTTTTATATTAGAAATATTATATATTGTTAATTCAAAGTTATTAGCAAGTAACAAGTATGTACTCATGTTTAAAAGATTTCAACAAGAAAAATTAATAACAAATATAAAATTAAATTTATACTATATAAATGAAGAATTTTTAAAAATTTAATCAACGTGTCAATAACGTGTCTATTGTTAATTCAAAGTTATTAGTAAGTAACAAATAGGTACTCATGTTTAAAAGATTTCAACAAGAAAAATTAATAACAAGTATAAAACTAAATTTATACTATATAAATGAAGAATTTTTAAAAATTTAATCAACGTGTCAATAACGTGTCGCGTTTGTACTTTTTTAAAAATCGCGTGTTGGCGTATGAGACACGTATCATGTCGGACATACGTGTCCGTGTCAGTGCATCATAGAATTCAGGTCAACTGATTTGGGTAGATCATACCTCTATAAATCAGAGGATCAAAATCACTTTAAACAAGATTCTCGACAACAGTAGATAGAAACCCACAAAAAGCGGGAGAGGGGGGAAGAGTTCAGACCTTTCTCCAAAGGTTCAAAGCGAATGTGTCCTGGCCTTACTACAATGGGAACAACTTCAGCCTCCTCCACAAGTTCAGTTGACCATTCCAACGTATTGCCGTTTTGATTTGGCTGTTCGAGCACTTCACCATTTTGAATTGGCGCTTCATGCACTTCCCCATTTTGATGTGGATCTTCGTGTAAATCTGTTGTTTGAGTTTGTTGCTGACATTTTTCGGATGTTTTGGATGTGTTACTTCCAGACAATTGCTTCCAATGTAGCTACATATTTCAGATTTCATGTCAAAATTAATTATCCCCCAAATTGATGAAAGAAATGTTCTTTGGAAAACTCACCAGCCCCTTTGGTTGGCCATCCACCTCATTTCTTTCAGTTTTAGCTCGATCCTTTCTCCAACTTCGCTGTAAATTTGAGTTGTCAGTTCTGCGCCAATATCAGATGTACATGGAATCAACAAAATGAAAGTTATGTTTGAATATGATCACTCACCTGTCCCTTTGATTGACATGCCACCTCATTTCTTTTAGCTTTACCTCGGCCCTTTTTCCTATTTTGCTGCAAAATTGAGGTAGTCAGTTTCCAATACAACTGGGATCAGTAGCATTGAGGAATTCTTTATTTGCATAATCTGACAACTTACAAGCCCCTCCACTTCACAAGCTTCATTTTCCTTCAGAATTTTCATCATTTCCTTTTTCCATTTCCTCCGAGCATAGGCTCGTTTACTATTTCTACTAATCTGCAAATATGTAGGCAACGCCTATTAGAACACTAGTTCAACCCTTGGAAAAGAGAGCTACACAGCCAATATATCAGCAGCAGAACACATTACACCTAATTGGTAATATTTGACAGCATATAATGATACAACTATAAGCCATGTTTTCGGAAACCTGAATTTCTACAATTAAAATTTAAATTTTCAGAGCATCTCAGATTTCCAAGCTGATCACAATGGACCATTAGAATAAAATAGAAGAATAATAGAAGTACTTGCTGGTCAAAGTGGTACAAATTCTTCATGAAAACTACTAATTTCTTAATTAATACAAACTCCCAAACTGATGCAGTTTTTATATCAATTTTAACATATCAGACTCTTCAAAACCTCACAATAATAAAAATGGGTCATATTGTAATAGAAAAGGCTGCCCCTTTCCCGTACTCGGGCTTGCTAGGCAACAAAAACAGCAGTCTACAACATGCAAGACCAATATATGTTACATAAAATGTAGTATTAATTGGAAGAAACTAGTAAAACTTGGACCTTTTTAGGTTCCTGCGGTGCAAGGCCTGCTCCCTCAATCTCTTGTCCATTCTCCTTACGCTTCTGACTTCTACAGATATCAGAGGCATAAGAAAGTTCAGAAATCTACCGAACAAGACAATGCATACCAAAACATTTTTTTTTTTTTGATAGGTAATCACGTAATTTTATAAAAAACTCAAACGGTAATACACAAGGAGTGCATTATCAGTTTAAACAAGATAGAAATAATAAAAAATTCGGCAACCCTTCTATCGGACTAATGGTTATAGCATTAAACCAACTATACAAAGTCAAATAAAACAATTCTCTAAATTGCTCTGTCGTCCGTACTTGGTCTTCAAAGCATCTGCCATTTCGTTCTCTCCACACACACCAAACAATGCATCCTGGAATGAGATCCCAAACGAGCTTGCTATTCTTATCTCGAAACTTTCTCTTCCATGCCCACACCACCTCCTTGATACGCCTTGGCAACACCCAACTCATATGTTGCGAGGCCAGAATATCATTCCACATCCACCGAACACCGGCACAATGAATGAACAAATGATCGATCGTCTCGCCATCCCTCTTACACATATAGCACCACTCCGTAAGACAATAACCCTTTCTTCTAAGATTATCCGCCGTTAACACCTGTCCCCTCACAACCGTCCACAGTAAAAAAGCCACCCTTGGAGGTAATTTACTTTGCCAGACCCTTTGCCACGGGAATGAGCTCTCAACAGGTTCCAATAAGGATCTGAAATAAGTACGAACAGAAAACAAACCATTCTGTGCCGCCCTCCACCTGCTACAATCTTCCTCTCCCACTCGAATGTGCACATCATACAGAGAGGCCAAAAATAATGCATAGTCATCCAGTTCCCAATCATGTAAGCCCCTCCCGAAAGCAATGTTCCAGCTAGGACTCCCATTGGATATAGCCAGAGCATCACTCACCATGGCTGAGGGCTCCAAGGCAATGCGATGTAAGGAAGGAAACCGCACTTTTAATGTTTGATCTCCACACCAACAATCATCCCAAAATCTGATATTCGTCCCGGTCCCCACCGCAAAAGCCAATCTATTCTGAAACTCGCTCCATCCTTTCCTGATAAACTTCCACAAGCTCATCCCATAAGAACCACGACCCTCACCTGAACGCCACCCTCCCTCCAAAATACCATACTTCACCCCAATAATTTCTCTCCAGAAGCTCTCCCTCTCCATACCAAATCGCCACAACCACTTGCCCATCAATGCCTTGTTAAATAAAACAAGGCTCCTCAATCCAAGACCCCCCACTCTAACAGGGGAACAAACATCACCCCATTTGACCAAATGAAACTTCCTCTCTTCCCCCAACCCTGCCCAAAGAAAATCCCTCTGCAACTTCTCCAAACTATTTGCCACTGCGACGGGAATAGGAAACAAAGATAGAAAATAGGTTGGAAGATTAGAAAGCGTGGATTTGATGAGAGTAAGTCGGCCTCCTTTTGACAGATAAATACGCTTCCACCCCGCTAACCTCCTCCTCACCCTTTCAAGAATATCATTCCAGATATGTTTACTTTTAAACCTCGCACCTAACGGAAGCCCAAGATATGACATAGGCAATTGTGCAACTCTGCATTCGAGTATGGCCGCTAATTCCTCCACATTAGCAACCTCCCCCACTGGAATAACCTCCGATTTCCCCAGATTTGCCCTCAAACCAGAGACTGCTTCAAAACACAGAAGCAAGCGGCGCAAATTCCTAATTTGCATAACGTCTGCATCACAAAATATCAGTGTGTCGTCTGCAAATAACAAATGGGAGACCTGTAGATGACCAACTTCAAAACCTCTTAACAAACCCTCCGTCACAGCTTTCTCAATCATTCTACTGAATGCCTCCATCACAATAACAAACAACAAGGGTGACAGCGGATCACCTTGCCTCAAACCTCTACTACTCCGGAAGTAACCTTCGGGGTTGCCATTAACTAAAACTGAAAACGAAACCGTAGAGATACAGAACTGAATCCACTTACACCACCGATCCCGAAAGCCGCATCGCCTGAGCATATACATAAGAAATCCCCAATTGACGTGATCATACGCCTTTTGAATATCAAGCTTACACAACATCCCTGGGGTCCCCTGACGTATTCTTGAGTCAATGCATTCGTTCGCTATAAGAACTGAATCCAAAATCTGACGCCCCTTCACAAAAGCATTCTGGAACTTCGATACCACTTTTCCCAGAACCTCCTTTAATCTATTCGCCAACACTTTAGCAATGATCTTGTAAACCCCACTAACCAAACTAATGGGACGGTAATCCTTAATATCAGTCACTCCCGGTTTCTTAGGAATAAGCACAATGAATGTGGCATTAAGACTTCTCATAAACCTGCCACGTTCGAAAAAATAATTGATTGTATCCATAATGTCTGATTTAACCATCTCCCAACAAGCCTTATAGAATGAGAATGAGAACCCGTCCGGTCCAGGGGCCTTATCATCATTCATATTAAACACCACATCCCTAACTTCATCCTCCTCAAATGGTCTCTCAACCCAACTAGCATCCTCTTCAGTGATAGTGAAGAAATCTAGTCCCTCCAGCTCAGGTCTCCACGCAAACTGCTCCCGATAGAGATTCTGATAAAATCGCACCTGCTGAGTCACAATATCATGTGGGTCCTCGTGCGTAACCCCATCAACCTCCAACAAAGTAATAGAGTTATTGCGCCGGTTGGAATTGGCGACTCGATGAAAGAACTTTGTGCATTTGTCACCCTCCTTCAACCACAAAACCCTAGACTTCTGTCTCCACGCGATCTCCTCCATCTCCACCAATCTCTCCAGCTCTCCCCTTAACCTTCCACGCCTCTCCCTTTCCTCCCCATCCAGCCCTCGACTCTCCTCCTGCCTATCCAACTCTCCTATGTCTGACAAACACTGATTCTTACGAACATCTATGTCTCCCACCACCTCCCCATTCCACTTCTTTAAATCCCCTTTCAAGGCCTTTAATTTCTGATGTAAAACATAACTAGGGGACCCCCTGAAATGATAAGAGGCCCACCAAGTCCGAACTCGCTCCCCAAAACCCTCAACTTTCAGCCACATCTTCTCAAACCTAAAAGGTCTTCTTCCACTACCCCTTCCAATCCCAGATAACGAAATAGGAAAATGGTCCGAGTATACTCTCCCCAATCTCGTCTGAGTGACATCAGCGTACTTAGCCTCCCACTCACCACTAATCAAGAATCTATCAATTCGCGATTGAACAGGTTGATCGCGATTAGATGACCAAGTAAACTCTCCCCCCATCATAGGCAAGTCCACCAACATATTTTCACTAATAAAATCAGAAAAATCCTCCATGGCCCCTGTTAATCTCCCTCCACTCGACTTCTCAGAAGGAAACCTGACAACATTAAAATCACCCCCAATGCACACTGGTAGGTTCCACCAAGCCATCATACCAGCCAGTTCATCCCACATGCCCCTTCTATCCACAACTGAGTTTGGCCCATAAACTCCAATAAACATCCACTTAAATCTATCTCCAACATTGCTAAAGGAAAGTGATAGAGAAAATAACCCTACACTAACCTCCTCCATTTCAAACATTCTACTGTCCCACATAATAAGCACGCCTCCTGATGCCCCTGAAGCTCCAAGAAACTGATACCCAACATGCTGTCCCCCCCATAAAGAACTCACAACAGCCCTCGAAATGACCTCTAACTTCGTTTCTTGTAAACAGACAAGATCGGCCCGCCATCCCCTTAACAAGTTCCGTACACCTAACCTTTTCCCAACTTCGTTGAGCCCCCGCACATTCCAGCTAATGATTTTTGGGATCATCTAAACTCTCCTTCCTCCCTCCCTGACAACCCTCTCTTTGACTCACCCCCTTTTACATCGTAGTTTATCGACCATTCAAGCCTCTTAAGCTCACGGTTCCCTTTTCTTCTTGCTCTTCCTCCTGGTGAACACATCCCATGTCCCCTACGTGTCTCCAACTCCTCAAACAAGTGCAAAAGGTTATCTTCATACCCATCACAGGACACCCCCACCATCTTGCTGAATTCCTGAATTTTATGGAGAACCCAATTTGAAACTGGAGGTCTAACATCAAGCGCAGTAACTTTTACTATCTCCCCTGTATTGCAACATTCAATAGGCTCAAAGATCTGTCCTTTCCCCTCCTCCACCAGTGTTGTACCCTTATCCAGTATTCCTTTTTTGTCGCACTCCTCCCACACTACTATTGCTTTGTCGTTCCCCAATACGTTTTCATTAAGAGACTTTGAATGCCTCCTAATGTATGTGTTCACAATCATAGTAGTCAAGCCTGTCACCACTTGCTCTTGTGTCGGTGCCGGACTTGATTCCTCTGCCCTCACTAATCCGATCACTTTATCTGTCAACCCAACTCCCTCTACAGCTGTGATCATATCTCCCTCAATCGCAGTTGCCTCGTTCTTCTCAAAAGGCTCATTCAGTGCTCTCATCACCGTGCTCTTAGTTCTCTCGTACCCCGAGTACTTTTCATCCAAATCCGACCCCATAATCTCTTCTCCCTCGTCATCTCCACTACACTCCACATCATACCGTGCCTGATTCCCTCTGGTGGGCTCAATCATCACCTGCGTTTCTTTAGTTTGAAACGAGTTTGATTGTATCTCCTTAGCCGGATACTCAGACATACCAACCCCGCATTTATGACAACAAATCATTTTGGAGCCCTCTAGAGCGCCACCTCCCAGTAACCTCAACAATTCATCCACCTCACCTTTCAATCCCAGGACGCGAGCCCTTATTTCATTATTACTCAATGAACTGTTTAGAGCACCTTCTGGCGTTATCTCCTTCAACTTATGCATCAAAGGGTGACCCTCGCTATCCTTTTGTAACGACATTGGCTTTTTCGTGTTCTGCTCGACCCGTCGGTTTGCCGTAACTGCAGCATATGTCCTCCCTTGTTGATTGATGACTTTAACCTTTTGACGCTCCACTTTGTCTCTAGTGACAAAAAAATCGACAACTGCCTGAAACATTTGCTGCATCGACGCCCATCCCTCTCCGTTCGCACCTTCCGGTACCATCACCACTCCTTTACGACGCCTATCCCCATATTGTGCTATCGTCAGATACCTACCTCGACTGTTACCACACCGCTGCGCCATAAAAGCTCTCGATGACTCTGTAAACTTAGCAATAAACTCCTCTTGCTTGCTCGCCCCCCTCACTTTATCCATCATATTCAATATCCACAAGGCTCCAAACCTCCCCATATATATTGCATTTGATGTCCTCGGTCCCCATTCGGTCAACTTCACAACACCAGATTCATTAATAGACACAAAAAATTCCTTTGCTTCCACTCCAATTCGAAGATGAAATTCCTTTGTACCAGACAAATTTGCATGCCGTTGAAATGGTGCATCCGACAATGGAACGGAGGGTTGGAAAAGGCGCACGCGCAGCCGACGCGCCACCTGGGAGCAGCCCCGCCGTCGCCGGGGTCGGAATGGTGAGGGGAGTCGACCGGTCAGGCGCGTGGTCCCTGGAGGTGGACGGAAAGCTGCCTATTTCCGAATCTTGAGCGGCGGCGCTAGGGTTTGCACCTAGGGCCGCCGCCTGCGAGTGTCTGTCCTGGTCGGTTTGACCAGAGTTTGCTGGCGTGAGGCCGGACTTTGATGGTGGGTGTGGTGGGTTGGTGGCTAAGTGGCTGGGTTTGGATTTTAAGGGAAAGCTCTCCATACGGGAAGAGCGTCTACAGTGAGAGGAAAAAAAAACAATGCATACCAAAACATGTGCACAGATTTAGATGTGCGAGCTAACTTTCATCGAGTCATTTCTGTCAAACTGCAGTTCTAAGGATATTACTAGTAAAAAAGATAAAGATGAACCCAAAGTTGTATCAAAAACAACCTTGGAGAAGGAAAAGGAGTAGGGAATTACTAGAAGACCCTTCTGAAAAATTTTTAAACAAAAAGAGAATCCAATACTCTCTTTATCTCAAAATAAATGCATCCTCTCCTTGCTATCTCGCGAAATAATGTCCCAATATACATATATTTGTGTGTGTATGCACTTATGAATGTAATTAGGAGTATATGTATGAACATCTAATATTTCTATTGTCAAATTATTTGTTAGGTGGGGAAGAGGTACTCCTAAAAGGACCAAGTCCAGCCATCAAGCTCAGTACTCCCGTTGTGCTAGTGGCAAGAGAAAAGAGTTCAATCTCAAATCAACCCTAGTTTTAGGTTCTCTCATGGATAAGAATAGTGGTTTACATAAGCAACAAGGCTTCAATAACCTTGATGAAATTCTCCGAGAGCCTCTTCATTAGTCCCATCTTCTTCATTTTCGATAGTCAATCCTCATTTTGAGGAGTCCAACAAACTATCTATACTTATAATTAAAAATAAAGAATGGATGTGACTCTCAAACGGTAGAGTGTCAAACCCACTTTCCGTACAATATATTTAATGATTTCTTTTATTATTTCACAACTTTCTATGTACCTCTTTGATTTATAAAAGAACACTTTTCTCTGTGTTATTGCAGCCTCTTTGAATCACACCTAAAGGCAAACCCCCAAACTAATTAGCATTCCTGCCTATTGCTAAACATGGGCACAGAAATAGAGGGGAAATGAAAAATAATATACAGGGAAGCTAGTTGAAAAAAAGTTAAAGTTGAGTCATAATTGTTTACAGAAAAAAAGAGCAAAATAAAGAATACATATACAGAATGTTTCTGGAGTTGTATAAAATGTCTACTTTTTATTTTTCCTTTTCTTCAAGGAGCATTGTTGGAGATGCTCTTAGAGTGGACAAAGTTAAGAACATTGCCATCCAAACTCCTCAGAATTTTAAGGAGTTAGGAAACGGTCCAAGTTGCTCTTCAACAGAGAATTTGTTAAATGCCAAAATGATTAGGACTTTTGGTATTTTAAATAGAGTAAAATAAAACAATGAAGTGTGAAAAAACATTCCAGAAAAAGAAGTTCGAATAAACCTACCTCATCATGTCTTCATTATTTTCAACATTTTCTGTATACTTAAAATCTGTATTTTCCTTTATGGAAAGGCTCTTCTTTTCTATTCTGACAACATCTTGATGAGATCTAATCTTTTCTGTATGAACATCACATGTAACATTATCAGGAGCCTCAGTACGTTGTTTCTTCTTCTTCTTCTTCTTCGTCCTGTAATCCATAAACAAAAAGTGACGTATAATTCATGAGACCATTAAAATCAGAAGATGCAAGAATAATCAAACCATGCAGGTATCAATAACAAGACATGCAAAATAGACTGCAGGGTAACACATACTTCGAGTCCTGACATTCCTCTGCGGCTTTCCTTTTTCTTTTCTTGGAAACATCTTTTACACCTGATGTGCCTTCGAAATCTTTAAATGGCTCTCCATCCTCCTCTTCAGGTTCTTCGCTCTTGTAACCTCCTTTTTCTTTCTCGAACTCCTCATTGGCTAAAAGCAAGACCCCACTATTTAAAGGTTGCTTCTCCAGAGCTTTCGATTTCTCAGCTAAAGCAGAAATATTGGTTCCCTTCACAACCAAAGTGTTTTCTCTCTTCTTCACTCTGACATGTGAAGCAGAGTACATCTAGATTACGTAGTTTTCAATAAACTCACTAAATGCTACCATCTTTTATTTCTTTTTATCATTAATGATGAATATTATTAAAATGGACTAACCTGATTATATCTTTATCCTTCAGGATGCAGGTAGGCTCGAATGCTGGCAACACAAAACCACCAATCTACATGAAAAGAAATGAGAAATTTAATAAATTCCGCCAACCAGTTTACAAAACGTAAAAACTATTCACCAAAATGAATGAATCAGATAAAATCCAAAAACAAAAACACGTTGTTTTGGTTTATCAGTAATAATCCATAGTCAATCAGCCACCTTGAATAAAGAGTTTATAAAGCGACTTTAATCACCAGTTACAACCCCATTAAATCTTTGTTATGGTTGAACTTCAAGCCTCAACCCCAATTCCAACAATTCAATAATATGAAACCAGAAATTGAGAACGAGAACTAAGACACAATATATTAATTGCAATAATGGGGTTCAATTACAGCAATTACTTGAAAATAGAAGATAAGAAGAAGAAAAAGACGAGAGAGAATTAGAGATAGAATCAGAGAGAAAGGAACTTGCACACTGATCAATCACCCCCTTTTCTCCTCCCTACGATGGTTATAATAGAAAACAAAAGCGTGCTAGGAAGAAGCTGAGGAAAACGCGTTTTTAACTTTTACTCTATGAATAAAATAAAACGACGCAGTCTCGCCATTTGAATTTTTTGTTAAACCGTTGGTTGCATTTTCTTCTTCTTCTGCTGGCTTTGCTCTGTTCTTCCTCTTCCCTTTCTTTTCCCATTCCAGCTGACCTCTTTGCTTCTCCTTATAACATCCCTCCCCCTTAGAATAACCTTGTCCCCAAGGTTCAAATGAAGAAAATTTTGTCCGTATGAATTCTGAAGTTTCCCAGGTTGCATCCTGCAATGGTATCACTATTTTCAACTCCTTGCAATCTCCTGTTTGTAACTCACCATTAATAGGATGATTGTCACCAGGAGCATCCCTAGTCTCTCCAGCTTCCCTTCTTATTTGAATTCTGCTAGGTCTAGGAGGAGGAAAATGAGTATCATGACGTAAAATCCAAGAGTCTTGGTTGCTAAAAGCATGGTAGGAAGAAGCTGAGGAAAACGTGTTTTTAACTTCTACACTGTGAATTAATTAAAACGGTGAGAATTTTTGTTAAACCGTTGGCTGCATTTTCTTCTTCTTCTGCTGGCTTTGCTTTGCTCTGATCTTCCTCTTCCCTTTCTTTTCCCATTCCAGCTGACCTCTTTGCTTCTCCTTATAACAATCTTCTTTAAAAGCTGATCAACTCACGCTCAATTAACAAAATGAAAATTGTGCACCGGTATTGTACCAGAAAGGAGCAACCAGTCAAACAAAAACACCTACAATCTCGCATAAGTAACAACATATTTCAGTCACTGAATAGAGACCACAACATATGAATCATCAAGACAGGACATTTTATCCTAATAAATCTTTCATATCATATAAGGTTCTGAATATTAATTAAACAAAAAACCCATACAACTTAACAAAACTAGTCAGAAACATCGAAATCAGCTGCAAAAATTTTAAACTGTGAAAAACCCAAAACGTACAAATTGCCCAAAAAATGAGCGATGAAAAGCACATTTTCAGTCGGTAAACAGAAAATAAAACTTTTTAATTTTTCGCGCAAAGCATTTTCTGTTATTTGTATAAATATAAAGTACACATACGCATAAGGGTTTTATATCTATGTGAACACTGAACGCATAAAAAATCAGGGGAGGATGGCGAGATTACAGAAAGAAGGAGCCCATGGGGGCACGAATTTTGAAGCTGAAAAGTGTTTAGAAGATGAGAAACAACGTCAGAAATGGTCTTCTGCTCATTGATTTTCAGTAAAACCCAACTTCGATTCAGTCCCTCTGATTTCTGGGCTTCGCTCAAAACATCACCATCTTTGAACACTACTCGAATCCGCCTCGTGCTCTCCATCGCATGCAATAAATTCAATCAGTTTACTTGTGTCTACGTTAGTTGAGAGAGGGATTTGTGAAGTTTTCGCCAGAGGCATCGGCTCCTTAAACCCTCACTGAGGCCTGTTCAGTGTCTTATTAATAATAATAATAATAATAATAATAATAATAAACTTAGTCATATTATTTTTTTTATTCTCATTCTACTACTCATTTTCAACCACACATTCTTCAATAAAATAATATTTTCCATCACATAAATAAATTTTTCTTATTTTTCAACCACATATTCTCCATCGCATCACTTCAAAAAAATACATTCTCTCATTTTAATATGTACCAAACGAACTCTTTTTTTAACTACAAATAAAAAATATTAAAAATATATCAAGAAATAAAAATTGAAAACAATAAATCCAATCAAAATCGACGATAGTTCTATTTCTGTCTTTAGAAACAAAGCAAAAGGAAATAACAATGCTACGATTTTTAATGAAATCAAAAATAGATTGTACATTATTAACAACGTAAGATATCACATTCAATCACATCCTCGTAAAATGATCGTTCTCTCGTGCAACTCATCGCAGTGCAAGTACATCGACATCCTCACTAGAGAAAGAACACAGTAGTCTGGAGACCTTTGCAGTGACAACATTTTTGAAAATATTAGTTCATAAATTATATTACATTAACTAAAAATATGTGTGTTTATATATCTTACTAACATGCAAAATATCGAATATAGTTTCTACTTATGGAAATCGAGATCAATGCATGAAAATGAGCAAAATAAAGACTCATTGAAGTGTTAGCATAAAAATGAGAAGATGAAATTAATCAATGTATACGAATGTAAATTTCCTTAAGACATATTTCAACATCTGCACTAGTACTAATATAATCAAATGAATGTTTGTCTCCCAAAATACAATATTTCTTCCAAAATTTGTATAGTACAATACTATTTTTTGTGGGGGCAATTTGGTACTTGACAATACTTCTCTAGACTGGATTATATCGACACGAAAATATCGAATACTCAAATTCAAAAACAATGTGAAAATTATTTTGACAGAATTTGAAAAATGAAAGAATTAGAAATCAATTATGTGGAATTGATTTGAAGTAAATAAAATGGAATTAGAATAGTTATATATATAAATTTCAAAATGTATCTTTTCTTAATAGTTTCATATTTTAACACAAATTCATTTTAATCATCGCACTATTTCATATTGGAACATGATCTAATGGTCTAAATCTCGCCATATCGTAGCATAAAGAATAGTCGAAAAGTCTTCTGATTTGAAATAAGAGATTTCGAAAACCAAGTTTGCTTTCAAAATAAATAAGTATAAAAGTTACACTCATTTTATTTGTATTCATAATCTTAGTTATTGTTCTTAGTTCGAGTATTTTCAAGTCTCAGGAATTCACATCGGCAGCAAAGGAATGGAAAAACGGAGGCCCATTGTAAGAAAAAGTGGACATTTTAGAGCACCACGATAAAATGTAGAAATTTCTACCTAACATATACTCCATTTGTCCCATAAGATAGACTTGGCCCCCGTTTGAGCCCCATTTTTTCTCATTTCATTACATTAATTTTTTTTCTCTCTTCATCTCAACTACACATTCTCAAATAAAATAATATTATACATAAATCTAAAACTTTTCCACCACATATTTTTCCATCAATCACTATTCTACAAATTTTCAACCCCAAAAAATGGGGGCCAAACAGGGCCTTGATTTCATTTTCAAACAGATTAAGAAAATGTAATTAATATAGTTGAAAATATAAATTTTACTTACATTTTCATAATACTAGGTGCAAACAACGTGCAATGCACGTTTGCTTAGTTTATATTTAATATTTTTGTTTAATAATTAATTTGTTATTAATAAATATATAATTTTTTTTGGTTAATTAAGGGTGTGTCTGAGCGCTGCAAGAAGGAAGGAAAATTGATTATATTACCGTTTTTTTTCAAACCTACAGCCCTACAGTGAGAGAATTGGTCCAAAATTGCGGCTCCCAACAGCATGAATTGTGTTGCCAACGGCTTGATTTCTGCTGAAAAGCAGAAGCAGACACCCTATAAATAATTAATGATGTAATGTTTATGTAATTGATAAATAATTAGATGTGTAATTTTGATATTGTGATGTAAGTTGGTGAGATTGAAAAAATAAGCAAAAGTAGACAAATTTGGAGAAAATGGCTAAATTGTAAAGGATCCAAAGTTCGAGGGCTAAAATGTAAATACTTAAAAGTTGTGCCGAATCTCACGATGAAGATTTGAGAGTGCTCGGAGTCAATTGAATAAAGGAAGATGTCAAGGGGATCAAATTTAATCAAAAGATGATCACAAATCAATTTCCAACCGAAAAGTTATGCTCCGGTGTTTTAGTCTCATATTGAGACCTATTTTTGGCATAGGAAGTGATCGAATTGGAGAATGATGTCTGAATTAAAGTTGTAGCCAGATGAGTTAGCTTTCCAACGCATTTTGAATCGCCTCAATAGGATATCGGAATACAAAGTTATGATAAAAACACTGAAAGAAGGTGCAGCTGCCTGTTTAAAACAAGAAATTCCGTTACATAGTCCGTTATATTGAGACCTATTTTTGGCATATAAAGTGGTTGAATTGGAGAATGATGTCTGAACCAAAGTTGTAATCAAATGAGTTAGATTTCCAACGCATTTTGAATTGCCTCAATCGGATATCGGAATACAAAGTTATGATAAAAATATTGAAAGAAGGTGCAGCTGCCTGTTTAAAACAAGAAATTCCGTTACATAGTCCGTTATATTGAGACCTATTTTTGGCATATAAAGTGGTCGAATTGGAGAATGATGTCTGAACCAAAGTTGTAACCAAATGAGTTAGATTTCCAACGCATTTTGAATTGTCTCAATCGGATATCGGAATACAAAGTTATGATAAAAATATTGAAAGAAGGTGCAGCTGCCTGTTTAAAACAAGAAATTCCGTTACATAGTCCGTTATATTGAGACCTATTTTTGGCATAGAAAGTGGTCGAATTGGAGAATGATGTCTGAACCAAAGTTGTAATCAAATGAGTTAGATTTCCAACGCATTTTGAATTGCCTCAATCGGATATCGGAATACAAAGTTATGATAAAAACACTGAAAGAAGGTGCAGCTGCCTGTTTAAAACAAGAAATTCCGTTACATAATCCGTTAAAACAACAAATTCCGTTAGTTTTTCCGTTAAACCAACAAATTCCGTTAAATAGACACTTTTTATATATAGAAAGATATCCCTACATTAAGGGTGTGTTTGAATACCATTTTTTGCAAGAATAAGTTTTGTAATAGTAATTCTTTTTTAAGGTGTGTGTGTATGTTAAAAGTAGGAAAAAAATTTAAGTTTACGTGTAAAACGATTTATTAAAAAAAATGTGTGGTTGAAAATCAATGTGGTGGAAAATGAATTTTTATAGAATGGAGGTTAAATAGGGACTAAATAATGATTTAGCCCCATTAAAATGTTAATACATTTTTCTCTTTTTTCAATCATATATTTTCCAATGAAATAATATTACACGTAAATTAAAAAAATCATTTGTAACTACACATTTTTCAAAAATATCATTATAATGGGGCCAAATAAGAGCTTAAATAAGAATAGTTCGTATTTATTGAAAATTAGAAGTAACGACTGAAAATTTGTCCTTGATTCTTCGTTTTAATCTTTTATTCTCAAGATAACGATTCCATATCTTCTGTGTTCGTATTTTATGAATATGATCGGCTAAATTTTTAGTTAGGACGAATCTAGTTTTAAAGGTTTAATGATTTTTATTGACATTAAAGTATATATATTATGCTTTTGTTTTTCATTTGATGAGTTTAATACTTTAGAAATCCTGATCAACTTTGAATTGTGAGTCATAATGAGATACACTGAAACTATAACATCATAAATTTGGATACTCTCTATGGTCCGTGTGATCGTTTGTGAATTCCGCGGCTTTTGCATCTTTAATCATTTTAATTCACGCTATTGTGTTTAACATCCATTTTGGAGAAAAAATAAATTTTGGAATAATGATTTATGGAAGAATGTGTGGTTAAAAAGTAAGATTTTTTTTTTATTTATGTGTAATATTGTTTTGTTGATAGAATGTGTGGTTAAAATGAAGAGAGAGAAAAAATGAGAATGAGAATGGAAAGAAAATGGGTGTCAAACAGTAGTGAATTTGTCTATAAAAGTAATTTTGGCTTTATTTGAAAGAAATTGCGAAATAAACTAGAGATATTCGAGCTATTGCATGGTAATGTATTGTCAAAAAATTGTCAAAAATCTAAAATTGAAATTCAAATAGGTAAATTATGATGAGATCGTGAAGTCATTACATCACATTTTTATTGATTCTAAACAACACTTTTTTTTTTTGTTCAACCACAAAAATTCACATTTCATTTTTACAAGCTATTCATATTGGTTAGAGTTAATTAAATTACATATTGGATACACAATCCTAATGAGATTGATATTAACTCATATTCTAGTTTTACTATTTGAAAGGCCAAGACCCACAGATATTAGAGTTAAGATACAAGAAACTTAAGACCCACAGATATTAGAGTCAAGATACAAGAAACTTAAAATGATAGAAAACTAAATCTGCAAAAAGTAAATGAATACAAGAGATTTTTCGGCCTAAGCCCCAGAGGTTCGGTATAAACTTACTCCCCCGTTGAGCATCCACAAAAGGATAACGCTTGATTGCACTATACTGCCTTCAAACTAGCAACGAAGGTTATAAGGAGTTCAATCAACACAAAGAATACAGATTAAAGACTTATCTCTTCAAGGATTCAACAGATCTTAGTTGAATCACACAAGAATCACCAGATCAGAATACTCGTAGACCACAGCAAACAAAATCCAACTTCTAGCAGATTTCCACACATGATAATCAAGTATTCTAGGGCTAACACTAAAAAATAATGAAAGAGAACAAAGGATTTTACAATG